GAAGAACAGCTTTTCCTGCTGCACTAGATCTTTTATTCCAAGCCCTCCTCTTTTTCTATTGGTCAATTTTGGCTCCAAAACCTCTCAGGGGCTTCTGGGAGTTGTAGGCCCAGCCTCACCTACTGCTAGCCAGGCTCCCTGGGCCTAGTAGGCCTCTGGTGGCACAGCCCAGATCATGACACTGCTGCACACACAGCTCCTGGTGGCTGGGACACGGCCAGAGGGGGTTGGAGGAGGAATCGCTGGAAATGAAGGGGCTGCTGGAAATCACAATGCATAGCCTCCCTCGAGTCTTCTGGAGTCCGTGAGTGAACTCTCTGCTGAAAATTTGGTCTATTTATTGTATTTTTAACTTTTTAAAATTTGATTTAAATCTTCTGATATCATGTCCCACCATTTCCCCCAGTGGGGGGCCCCCCAAGAATTTTCTGGCTATGAGCCTGTCCCAGGCAAGGGTCTTTCCCATCACCTACTGCTGGGTCCTTTCAACTGGAGACACTGGGGCTTGAACCTGGGACCTTCTGCAGGCCAAGCAGAGGCTTTACCACTGATCCACAGCCCATCCACATATTCTCCAGAATCTCAGGCTGAGGTCATTCCCATTATCTACTGTCTGGTCCTTTTAGCTGAAGATGCCGAGGATTGAACCTGGGAGCTTCCGCATGCCAAGCAGATGCCCTGCCACTGAGCCATGGCCCCTCTGTACAGCTCTCCAGGTACTCAGGCAGAGGTCTTTCACATCACCTCCTGCCTGTTCCTTTTAACTGGAGATGGCGGGGATTGAACCTGGGCCAAGCAGAGGCTCTGCCACTGAACCACCTGTCCCTAACATTTTATTACCCAGACAAGATATATTATATTGTACCAGCTGTGTATTTGAAGACGCTAGACCGGCTGGTCTCCATACAAACGTTTATCCGTTTTATTTAGAAGAATTGTTTTAATTCATTTTATTGCAAGCTGCCTGCAAGCTGGTGGCAGAACATGCTGCCAAGTTGCAGTTGACGTCTAGACTTTCGGAAGCGGTTTGCCATGGCCTGCCTCTACGTAGCCACCCTAGACTTCCTTGTCAGTCTTCGACCCAACTGCTAACCAGGGCTGATCCTGCTCGGCTTCTGAGATCTGACGACTTGTGGTGGCCCTGTAGGGTTTTCAAGGGAATAGACCGGCAGAGGTGGTTTGCCAGTGCCTTCCTCTGCCTAGCTACCCTGGACTTCCTTGGTGGTCTCCCATCCAAATACCAACTTGGGCTGACCCTGCTGAGCTTCCAAGATCTGATGAGATCGGGCTAGCCTGGGCCATCCAGGTCAAGGCAAGAGACGTCCAGAGGCAGTCTGTCACTGCCTGCCTCTGCGTAGCAACCCTGGGCTTCCTTGGTGGTCTCCCGTCCCGAGTACTCACCAGGGCCGACCCCTGCTTTGCTTCTGCGATTGGGCAGCCCTGGCCATCCAGGTCAGTGGGCAGGACCCAGTATCTTAAAAGCACTCAATCATTTCCTTGGAAGGGCTCCAAGGACTGAATGCCGGGCGCCAACCACTCTCGCTGCTGCCCAGCCTATAAGACACTCTGCAAACACCGTCATAAAGACTTCTGTTACTGCAACATTTCCCAATTAATTACAAGATGTGACTGGTCCGGAGAAGCCAATCTGATCTGAGTGGGAACGGCTCTGGCCAGGAGGAGGAGGAGGAGGAAGAGGCTGACCGGAGAAAGAACAATGCCCCGTCTTTCTACAGGCAATCAGAAGCCAGTGTTTATTCCCAGGATAGCCCTTAATGTTTTTTTTTTTTAAATCGAGATTCGAGCCACCAGCCTGCAGAGCAGGAAAGCACCTTTTTTTGTATAGGGCAGGGTCAGATAAAGATCGCTGTTTCCTCAGGAGCAGACAGCAAGAACTGCAGGCTGTTTTGATGTATTTATTGGCCCTGGGAGTCTTCTTCTTTTATGAGACGAGGAACAGAGGGAGGAACGAATGGCAAAGATGAACACGAACTCGTAACCCAAAATGGCTTCCCCCAGCGCCAAGTAACTTCCCCGCCTTGGAAGAGGAGGAGATGGACCCCCTTGATGGCCCCTGGGTGACAGTATTGGACTGGATGGGCCATTGGCTTGATCCAACATTGGCTTCTCTTATGTTCTTAAGAAGAAGATATTGGATTTATACCCCGCCTTTCACTACCCAAGGGAGTCTCAGAGCGGCTTACAAACTCCTTTCCCTTCCCCTCCCCACAACAGACACCCTGTGAGGCGGGGGGGGCTGAGAGAGCTCTCCCAAGAACTGCCCTTGAGAGAACAGCTCTGTCAGAACTTATGACGGACCCAAGGTCACCCCAGCAGCTGCATGGGGAGGAGTGGGTGCTACGAAATAGGTGCCACCACTGAATGCACCCTGTTCCTTACAGGAACCAAGGGGCTCCTATCCGTCAGCAGAAGATAGATCTTACAACTGACCTTCAAAAGGGGGGGAGGCGCAACGCAAAGCAAAACTTCAGCTCTCTTTCTGTCTACCTGGTCTATAATGAGGTTTAAATTACGAAGTTGGTAGCAAGAAAGCGAAGCTTTGCAGACAGAGGCGACTGCTAGATTATTAAGGGTAGTTCTTTTCCCCCCTCAAGCGAGCTAGAACATATGCTTCATATCCCTACCCTCTGTTATCTAGCCCATGACTCACTGTGAAAACATCTCTCCCGGGGGAGGTCAAATAGTGGATACCGGGCTTTGAAATGGGGATCTACTATTTAGCAACCGCGTTAAACAAACTTTGCTCCAGTCATTAACGGGAGGGGAGGAACAGAGGAAAAAGTCCATCTGCTATGGCAACGGGATATAAACAAGGTGGTTAATGAATGGAGAGGCGTTGGCCTGTTCTGTAGTTTCCCGTTTCACAAAGGGGTACCTCCAAGTACCGACTCCCAGTGCTAACCAGTGTTTCAAGTGCAACCTTGCTCCAAAGGGCGTGTCTCCCTCGCCCCTCTTCAAGAGTAGAATTAGTCGAGCCAACTATAAATATTGACTCCTAGTTGAAACTGTGGTGCTGGAAATACACATGCGGGCAGGGCTCGGCCAAGAGATTTTGGTACTTGGGAAGATCTCAAGTGATACCAGCCGAGTGGTTAAAAAGCGTGTGGTGCTCCCTACAAAGAAAACATTTTCAAAATGTTCTACAGATGGGATTGGACTCCGGATAAGGTAGCAAAATGCTATAAAAATGCATCAGGAAACTGCTGGAGGTGTAAAAAGAACATAGGTTCATATTGTCACATATGTAAGCGGCTCTGGGGACCCACAGGAGAGAGAGAGGTGGGACATAAAGGAAATAAGTAAATACACAGACGGCCACAGTCCACCAACGCAGGCCACTCAGGTGTTCTTTCACAGCTCTGCTTTGTTTCAAGGTGCTCAGAGAACGTTCTTTCACAGCTCTGCTTTGTTTCAAGGAGGTGCTCAGAGAATGTCCCTGGTGGATTGGGCTCTCTGAGATGTATTGCCTAGCTCTGCCACCCTGAACCGCATGCGGATCCCACTACTGTGGCCTTACAACAGGGCACTGGGCACCCCCTGAATGGGGAAAGGCAGAATCATAAAGTTGGAAGGGACCTCCAGAGTCATCTAGTCCAACCCCCTGCACAAGGCAGGGAATTCACAAATGCCTCCCCCCTCCACACACACACTCCCCCAGGGACCCCTGCTATGTGCCCAGAAGAGGGTGGCCACCCCCCCCCCCTCCAGGTTCTCCAGCCAAACCGGCGTGGCTTCCTGGCCCCAACGTGGCGACCAGCATTTCCCTGGGCGTGTAAAAAAAAGAGGGGGGGGGCATGCGGACTAAGCACTGAGGCAACCCTTCCTGCCCTCCCTCTCGTGATCTGCCCAAGTTCAGAGGATCTGCATTGCTGCCAGGTGGCCATCTAGCCTCCCAAGAAGGAGAGCCCACCACCTCCCGAGGAAGCCTGTCCCACTGAGGAATGGCTCTTAACTGGCGGAAAGTTCGTCATGGATGTTTAGCCAAAAACTTTTTTGATTTAATTTCAACATGTTGGTTCTGGTCCAACCTTCTGGGGCAACAGAAAACAACTCCGCACCATCCTCTAGATGACGGCCCTTTAAAGTACATAAGGACACAAGAGAAGCCAAATGTTGGATCAGGCCAATGGCCCATCCAGCCCAACACTCTGTCACACAGTGGCCAAAAATACCAGGGGCCATCATATCACCTCTCAGTCGTCTCCTCTCCAGTCATGCAGAGCTAGATCCAAAAGTCGATTCACTGCTTTTTTTTTAAAAAAAGATTATTTGTAGCAGATGCACAGAGAACAAAAGGAAAATCTCACCTTTGATATCTCCTGGAGTTTGCAGTCTCGAATATTTAGTCACGATCAGTGTTCCCCCTAAGCTAGCTCACAGGTTTTTAGCCTCCAGCTCACACATTTTTGTCTTAGCTCAGGAAGGAGGGCTCCAGAGCAAGCTAATTTATGCAAGTAGCCAAATCGCCCGCTCACAACTTCAATGCCGGTAGCTCACAAAGTAGAATTTTTGCTCACGAGACTCCACAGCTTAGAGGGAGCATCGGCCGTGGGGCAACGGAGCTTGCAAACCCACTTCCGCCCTCCTGGGGGTCTGCCGTCGAACGCAAGCACGGCCCCAACCCAAACTGCGACCAGTTCTCTCGAAGCTGCGCTGCTCCGGATTTTGACTGCTACCTGGAAAAGCAAGAGAGACGGACGGCCCCGAAAAATGGGCTCTTAGAAAGCATGCCCACATTTTATTCATTACATCTTGCCTCGGTAAACCACAGACTGTACACAGCGAACGTTGCCTCTCCGAGTGTGAGCTTGCCACAAATAAACAGAGATAGCAATCCGGTTTCTCTCCTAATTACAGGAAAGCTTGCAGCGTTTTGCGTTTGTGAACCGTGCCCAAAGGCAGTCTTGTGGATCTTGGGACACCCCCACCCCCCCGCCCCAAGGCATCAGTTTCTTGATTTATTAGTAACTTGTCTCTGTTGTATTCTGTATTTTGTAATGGCCAATGGCTCAATACAATAAACCACTTTGGACTCGTAAATTGCATCCCCATCTCCCTCCCTGTGTTCGTGCAGCATGACTAAGCCGGGTCGTCTTGGCTCCTCTTGGCGTGTTTCCAGAATTTCCAGTGCGGCCCTCTCCTGGCCTGCCTGTACTCATGGCTCATCGCCGTCTCCTTCTGCGCAGGCCTCTGCCGCTTTCTAAACGGCTGAGTTGGCGGGCGATCGCTGTTTGTTTCCATGGAAACTTGCTTTCTGCGGTTAGGCGTGTCTGGGCGTGCGTGGGCCCCGCTCGCCTGGGAGTGGAGAGAACAGGAAAGAAAAGAGGAAGCCGTTTCACATCTGAACAGAAGCGCGCAAGTTTCTGGATGACTCTGCCCCCTAACACTGGCACCCCAAAACACCCCCCTCCCCCTTCCTGCCCTGAAGCGGTTGAGGTCACGGCAAATAATGTTGGATGAAACGCTGCTATGAAGCTTCCGGAAAAGACTCACCTGCATAAGCAGCTCAAGGTTGAAACAGAGAAGATGCCAGATCCCTGCTAAGCTCTTTGGAGGGGCCGTGGCTCAGGGGCAGAGCCTCTGCTTGGCATGCAGGAGGTCCCAGGTTCAATCCCCGGCATCTCCAGTTAAAAAGGACCAGGCAGGAGGTGATGGGAAAGACCTCCGCCTGAGACCCTGGAGAGCAGCTGCCAGTCAGAGTAGACAGTACTGACTTCGATGGACTACGGGTCTGATTCAGTAAAAGGCAGCTTCCTTTATTCATGCATTGTATTGGAGGGGCGGTGGCTCAGCCGAAGAGCCTCTGCTTGGTATGCAGAAGGTCCCCGGTTCAATCCCCGGCATCTCCAGTTTAAAAAGGACCAGGCAGCAGGTGATGTGAAAGACCTCTAGCCCGAGACACCGGAGAGCCGCTGCCAGTCTGAGTAGACAATACTGACCATTATGAGTTTGAATCCTATTTTGTAGCTGTAAGAACACCACATAGAGATTTGCCCACATATAAAAAGTTTTTAAGTCCATTGAAGGGCTAGTCCCAGATAGTATACTGCATAACAACATAGAGAATGTTCTGTTCATCTGCAAAAGAGGATTCAAACACATAATGGTTGCTGGCAATTACTTCTGATGAAGTTTTCCATCAAAACGAAGTTGAAGCCGGACTCTTCGTAATTTGTTGATACTGTCGGACTGTAAATTGTTGGAAAACATTGTGCACTGTTGGTTTATAATATTGTATGTCTTATAAATGTATTTCCATTTGCACACTTGATGTGTTTACTATTCTAATACATATTTTTTGCATATGATAGCGACTTTCCAGTGTGTTTCTTGATTTATGTATACTGAGAGGTTTCTGCTGTGTTGTTACTGGGACTCTAGAAAGCCCCAGAGAACCAGCAGAGATCATACTAGGCTAAGACAAAGCGGCCAACAGGTCGCTTTAAGAGGTGCATCTGGTATCCTGCAACACACACACAAACACACACACTTTCCCATTGCTTTCAGCTGCAGCGGATAGAGATGAAGAGTGCCTGCGCTCTGTGCTTGGCTTTGTTATTTAAAAAAAACAAAGAAGAAACGAAACCACCCACATGAAATTATATGTTTATATCTGGGACATCAAAACAACGTTTCCCTGAATTAAGAGTAATCATACTGCTCCAGCCAAAGGAAGAACATATGGCTCTTGTTCTTTATTTAAAAATGGTAGAGGCATAACAATTCCGGTTCTTTTTTGTTGTGTTGGCTTTTGACAATGCTAAAGCACTCTCCTTCGTTTCCAGGCCCCCTTTTCTGAATTGTTGTGTTGGCTTTTGACAATGCTAAAAGCACTCTCCTTCATTTAACCAGGCCCCCTTTTCTGCAAGGTGTTGGTGCCACATCTCGGTTTTGAGCAGGCAGCGGTCAAGCCATGGTTTAGGGCGAACCTCCAGCCCTGAAAACAAACCTGCCCTCAAAGATTTGGTGCAAAAGATTAGATCCAAGGTGTGACTCTCTTTCATGCCGGTTTGGTGTAGTGGTTTAGTGCGCGGACTCTAATCTGGGAGAACCGAGTTTGATTCCCCACTCATCTACATGCACCTGCTGGATGACCTTGGGCAAGCCATAGTTCTGTCAGAGCTGTCCTCTCAAGGACACTTCTGTCAAGAGCTCTCTCAGCCCCACCTACCTCACAGGGTGTCTGTTGTGGGGAGGGGAAGGGAAAGGAGATTGAAAGCCGCTCTGAGACTCCCTTGGGTAGTGAAGGGTGGGGTATAAATCCAATCTCCTCTTCTTCTTCATGTGCTAGGCCAGGCATGATTTGGGAGAGACCCAAGGCAAAGAAGTTACAAAATCCTGAACTAGTCCCAGTGAGGCATCCTCAGCATGGATGTTAAGTCCCTCCAAACTATGCGTCTGGGTGTCTCCAGCACTACATCCGAGACCACCGCCAATTCAGACAAAGTGCCCGCTGGAGAATTGGGCAGCTGTTATGCAAACAGAATGCCTAATCTTTCCTTAGTCCCTAATGTGAGGATCATGTAGTCTGTGCACTGGAAGTCAACTGAATTATTCAAGAGGGTTTTTCTGCGCAGTCAATAGGATAGGTAAAGGTTTCCCTTGCTCAAAAGCCAGTCGAATCTGACTCTGGGGATGCGGTGCTCATCTCCGTTTCCAAGCCGAAGAGCCAGCGCTGTGCGAAGACGTTTCTGTGGTCATGTGGCCGGCATGACTAGATGACGAGGTGCATGGAACACTGTTACCTTCCCACCGAAGCAGTACCTATTTATCTACTTGCAATTTCTTGCTTTCGAACTGCTAGGTTGGCAGGAGCTGGGGCCAGAGACGGGAGCTCACTCCGTCACGCAGCACTCGGGTCTCGAACTGTCGAGCTACTGACCTTCCGGTCTGCAGCTCAGCGTCTTAACCTCTGAGCCACCACGGCCCATAGGTCAATAGGATAGCACTGTACAAAATGACTCAGAAAGTGACTGGGACAGATGATTAGGGGCTGCGGTCTATACAACCGTGTGTATTTTGCTGTAAGCTGGATCCTGCTATGTAATCTTGCATCATTTCATGTGTCACGGTAACGCCTGTGCTTTGCTTCGGTTCTGTTTTTTAGATTTCTGGTTGGTTGTAGAACCCAAATCCTATTGTGCTGTTCATTGAATGTCCCCTCCTGTTGATCGTATTTGCTCACCCTGTGTAATCCCCACCTTGGGTCCCAGTGAGAAAGCTGGCTCTAAGTAATGTGAGTAAAATCAACGGGCTGCTGCTCACGCTAGAAGAAAAATGAAACAAGACGAGCCCACCCCTAAGTTTCTAGCCCTCATGTCCGAAAACCTGCTGGCTGCATCCTTTGAAGTCACTAACATTTCTGAATTTCTGAAGAAATTTGCCATTGGCTAGTAACAAATTCTGGTTACAATTTCTTAGGAGGACTGAGGTTCTTCATCTCCTATTATCTATGAAGAACATTAGAATAAGATAGAGTTTAGAGTTACTATCATACTTAAATGGTCAAATACAAGTGACTTTTGCAATTGTGTTTTAGTGCACAATTTAGGAGCTGCGGTGGCTCAAGTGGTTAAGACGCTGAACTGCAGGCTGTGGAAGGTCGGTAGTTCAGCAGTTCGAGACCCGGGTGCTGCATGATGGAGTGAGCTCCCATCTCTAGTTCCAGCTCCTGCCAACCTAGCAGTTCGAAAGCAAGAAATTGCAAGCAGATAAATAGGTACTACTTTGGTGGGAAAGTAACAGCGTTCCGTGCGCCTTGGTGTTTAGTCATGCCGGCCACATGACCTCGGAAATGACTTCGGACAGCGCTGGCTCTTCGGCTTGGAAACGGAGATGAGCACCGCAACCCTAGAGTCGGACTCGACTGGCTTTCGAGCAAGGGAAACCTTTACCTTTACCTTTTTTTTAGTGCATTACTGCACTTACATGATCTAGTGAACAACATATTGTATCAATACTGAAAAATATTATGTACTGTTTGAAAACGTTATGGAATGTATGTACGGAAGTTTGCTAAAAACCAATAAAACATTAATTAAAAAAAAAAGAACAGATATTTTAAAGGGACTGAACGTCTTAAACTTAATTTTTCCCAGACACACTATTATATGTAGAATGATGCCTCACACCTCTCACATTTAATTAATAGCGTTCCTCATGTTTGGCTTCAAACCAGATTTTCAATCACATGGGTCAATCCCCTTCAATTTTTCTTCTTCTTGAGGGCTCAAGATCTGATTTGCCAGTCTACACATTATTTCCCTTAAAAAAACAAAGTAATCAAACTCTGCATCAATCACAAGTTGCGTTTAAAACAAACATTTCCCACTCTCCTTGTGACAATAGAGAAAACAAATTACTCCCCTGTAGATACGGCTCACCTTGTGGTCCTTTTTGGCGTCCGCTGGTCTCGGTGGGAAAGTGCAGGGGACTCGTCCTTGAGCGCTGTGGGAAGGCAAAAGGATGTTGGGATCCAGTGGCACCCACGGAACCGACAGGGTGGCCGGGGGGCCGGGCAGGTCGCCGTGAGCCGCGTGCAAGTTGTACGTCCCCCTGGTGTCTTTCTCCGGACAGCTCTTACGGATCATGACGGACGAGTCGCCCGCTGCGTGAGCCAGGAGGTAGGCGCCCTCTTGCAAACTAAAGCAGGACAGACATTGCAATCGAAGGTTTAAAATACGTCGGAGAGTTTGGCTCTGAAGCACGCAAGCGGCACGGGGGGGAAGGAAAGACTGCCTGGACGAAGCAACGGGAAGAGATGCCAGCAGTGGATTTGGTGCGGACAGGAGCTAAAATGCATCTCCTGCGCTCGCCTCGTGGCAGGGAATGCACTTTGCACCCCAGTACTGCACTCCTTCACCCCAATCTTGTTAAATTATTTTTAATGGCATCTGGATTGTATTGGTGAGCACCTTTTAATACTGTATTGTTTTATTGTTCTGTGATTTTATGATCAGTATATTATTTATTGTTGTTTTAAATTTTTGGAAGCCGCCCTGAGCAGGCTATTGCTGGGAGGGCGGGGTATAAGTTTAATAAATAAATAAACAAATAAAACGCTCCAACGTAGCTACAGGCCTGGGTCTAACTCAGAAGAAGAAGAAGAGATTGGATTTATACCCCCCCTTCACTACCCAAAGGTGTCTCAGAGCAGCTTACAGAGTCGCCTTTCCCTTCCCCTCCCCACAACAGACACCAGAGCTCTGACAGAAACTGCTCTTTTTCAAGAACAGCTCTTATCAGAACTATGGCTTGCCCAAGGCCATCCAGCAGCTGCAAGTGGAGGAGTGGGGAATCAAACCCGGTCCTCCCAGATTAGAGTCCGCGCACTTAATCACTACACCAAACTGGCTCTCTAACTCTGCAAGGATTACAGCGGCATTCACCAATAAAACAAACATGGGAACATTCGGCATATTAAATTTCAGAATCTATACTACTGTGTCAAGAAACACGTGCAACAACAAAAAAGTTCATACCCGGTCACCTTCTTCAAGATATGTTGGAGAATGTTCAGCGAATTTGCCGGCCTGTGGATGAACAGAAGATTAACACTCGCCGTGTTTGAAGAAAGGTGGCAGAGAAGCATTTAAACAATATTTTCTTTTTAAAAAAGAGCTGGGACACGCATTTACACACTGAAGCTTAGGCAATATAGTCATTTGTTCCCTAATGCTGAAAAAGAAAAACAACAACACAAAGCAGTTTATGAGCACGGACATTTTATATGTGCCCGTTTATCCGCCAAGGAGATTAGAACTGCTTTACAGGAGGAGCTGCGGTGGCTCAAGGTCAGTAGTTCAGCCGTTCGAGACCCAGGGTGCCGCATGACAGAGTGAGCTCCCGTCTCTAGTTCCAGCTCCTGCCAACCTAGCAGTTCGAAAGCAAGAAATTGCCAGTAGATAAATAGGTACCACTTCAGTGGGAAGGTAACAGCATGCCGTGCGCCTCGGTGTTTAGTCATGCCGGCCACATGACCACGGAAACGTCTGCGGACAGCGCTGGCTCTTCGGCTTGGAAACGGAGATGAGCACCGCAACCCTAGAGTCGGATTCGACTGGCTTTCGAGCAAGGGGACCTTTACCTTTACCTTACAGGAGGGGAGATCTGTGGTCAGCTCCCCACCCCCAATTCCACATTGTTTACATGGCACCCGTAACCACGTCGCTCCACGTATCCACCACATCGCCAGGCAAGCAAGAAACGTGGAGTCAAGGGAGAGAGTGTGACAGTTTTCGTTTATAACAAGAGGCAGGTTCCTAGCCCTCCCAGTTGAGAGGCTCATGGAACTCTTCCGGAGGGTCGCCGTGTTGGTCTGCAGTAGAAGAGCCGGATTTGAGTCCCGGAGCACCTTAGGGACCCCACAAGATTTCCAGGGTGTCAGCTTCTCCCTGCGTCCAATGTCTGAATCGCGAAAGTTCCTGCCCCGAAAACTGTGTCGGTCTTTCAGGCGCTGCTGGACTCAGATTTAGCTCTTGGAGCCGTGTGTGCGGAGGCATTTCAGAAAACAAAAAAGAGTGAACTTTGCGAAGGTTTCCAGCGGCACATGCATCGAATATGTACCCGTGTCATGTAAATGGGTGAGGCCAGACGACAACAGGATGCCTTGCCCATAACAACAGAAAAAGTAGGGGCTCAGGACCCCAAACTCTCCACTTTATTACATCATCCATCAGCCTTGTGCCTCGGTGTACCATCACCAACATTTACGCAACAGCTATGTATGGTCCAATAACATCTTAGAGACCTAGCGGTACCAGCTCTGAAAACTGTGTGTATGGACAAAAAGTGCAATCTGTTTTTAAACTGCTGTTGATAAATTGTTGTTCTTAACTGTTTTTAACCTATTCGTGTATTTACATTATGATGCCAAATGGAAGAAGAGATTGGATTTATATCCCACCCTTCACTACCCCAAAGGAGTCTCAGAGCGGCTCGCAATCTCCTTTCCCTTCCCCTCCCCACAACAGACACCCTGCGAGGTAGGTGGGGCTGAGAGAGCTCTTCCGAGGACTGCCCTTGAGAGAACAGCTCTGAGAGGACTTGTGACTGACCCAAGGTCACACCAGCAGCTGTGCATGGAGGAGTGGAGAATCA